GTAGTAGTAGCAGCAGCGGCAGTAGTAGTCGTCGCCTTCCGGTTCGTAAAAACAGCGAAGGCTTTTGGAGGTCTGGGATTTCTGGATGCTGGAAGGGTCCCTGAACTCCTCCCGTGAAGCCTGCTGAATGCGTGCCCTTACGCAGAAGTGCAGCAACCTTGGCTTCGGCGGCCAAAGCTTTTTGCTCAACGAAGGATACGGTCATCTGAACCCCAAATGCAGTGCGCCTTGCACCAGATGTCTTAAAGGCGAACGAGAACACATTGGCAGCGCTGGACCAGCAGCTGCTGTACGCGCTGCCACCACAGAAGTTCAAGTAGGTGAAGGCCCGGTACGGAACCTTGCTCGCGGCCTGACTAGCAGAAGCAGTGATCTTCCAGCCGTCTTCGCCTTGGATTCCCCCCCAGCCACAGAATCTGCGAGGAAAATGCCAAAGCCGGTCTGAAACGACAGCACAACTCAAATTTGACCTGAGCTGCTGAAGCTATACTGTCCAGACATACAGGGCGCATTTCCACTCCAGCCACCGCCGCCATCAGAGCCACCTCCTGCGGAAATGTATGGCCCAGAACCGCCGAAGTTCTGGCCACAGAAATCAGCATCTCCTGCCAGTGGACGCACCGCAGCAAGGCAGCACCCATTTCGAGAAAGCACCTGCACAATAGCAAGACATTCCTCGGAAAACCAAATGCCCTCAGGCCGGCACCTCCGAGAGAAGCAGCAAACCGGTCAAAGGATCCTTAGTCACAAAGCCAAGAGAGGCCTTCAATGCCTTGTGCGGCCTGGGGCCTAGGGCCTAAAGCATAGATTCCCAGTATCCTTCCCAGGAAGTACTGGGCGTACAGGAGCACTGGCTGGGTCTGCTTGTCGTGACCTCCGCAGCTTACATCAACCACTGCAATTTTAATGTGGCGACTGACGAAGTCTCAAAGAGTGCTGCAGAGCGGCATCGGACGTCGTGACAGGTGCTGCCGTGGTCACTGGTGTTGGTGGAGCAGGGGTGGGGGATGGAGGCGTGGGATCCGTACCAGGGAGGCACTGCGAGTACCACTCGTTCGAAAACTTGCAATATGAGCCTGCGCTTGGAACAGTTCACGCGACATGAATACGAAGTCCACTTTCAACCCCGCAGCCGAACCTGATTGACAGCACTTTGGACCGTTGTGGTTGTTGCCGCCGCATTGTTCATAGACTGCTGAGCATGGTCCAGTCGGAATGGTTGTGGTCGTGGGCACGACCTGCCAGGGTCTCTCTCAATGAAAGGATGAATCCCACTTGGACAAAGGCTTCCTTCTGATATCGCTTCGCAAACTTTTGTTACAGCGCAGCAACCTGACTAGTTGACACAGGGGATGGAGAAGGTGAAGGAGATGTCGACGGAACAGGCCCGCTCCCTTCCAGGACTACCTCTGCAGCTTGCATGCCAAGTAAGAACCGGGCCTGAGACTATCTGAAGGCCTTGCTGGCTGCTTCACTCCAAGATGCGATGTCGGCACAATTCCAGAACTCCTCGCCGAAGCTTCCTCGCCCTTCGGGGCCACAGCAGGCGGCATCACAGGTCGCCCAGCTCGCAACAGCCCATGCACTCCAGCCTCAGCACGTCCGCACGGCCCACGAGCGACACTCAGACGGAGAGACTCGGTGGCTGACTGGCAGAGTTCCAGCCCAAGCTCTGGAGTCCCTTGAAGTATGTCCTCGCTTCGGGACCGGTCTCGGCTACAGGCTCTGCAACACGGCTCGCACCCTCCGAAGTTCCTGTAGGAATTATCGGGAAGACAGCTGTTGGCAGTAGCATAGTACCACTGCAGCGTACACTTCTGGCACGAGAAGTCTGCAGGAATGACATACTTCATGGTGTGGACCTTCAAAAAAACTTCATTCATGGAGTTAAAAGTGAGTTAGAAAACATCGCATAGGGGGCGGGCCTCGGTCACAGACGGGAGACCGGAGGCCCAGGAGGCCCCTGCAGGCGGATTCGCCCCTCGAGGAGGAAGGTACCAACGCCCAGGATTCTCGGAGTCGATGGGCTGACAGTCTCCTGTCGGTGCCAACTGCATCGTCCCCTTCCACCTATCTAAGCCAACTTTGTTGCGCAGCACATCCTCGAGGGTCGTTTACGACGCAATCATTCGCAGGCGCCGCGCGCTGCAGGATGACCTTGTCCAAGCAATCCTGGCCCTGAGCACACACGAAAGTCAATATCTGCACAGACGCACGATCTATTTTCTGCCTATCAGTCGGTCATGTAAGTAAGTTCCCCAAACTGTGTGGCGCACACTGATTCTCACGTTGGATGCAAAGAGACTTGGTCAGCATGGCCGTGTGGTGCGCACACTCGTGCGCGAAAGCGGGTGCCGACTTGTGTTGATAAGCTGCAAATGTATGTGTAGACAAGAAGGTAACAGGTAGCATGTGAACTCATGTCTTTATTTATCTACACACGTGAAGACATGTGCGCAGAGGCACACACATGCATCATACACATACACAACCACCTACACCTATATCTACACATACACATACACATACCCATACACATACCATACATATACACATACATACGCATACACATGCACATACATATACACACACACATACATATACAAACAAATGCAAAAAATTTCTCGCAACCGAAATCCTTGTGAGGGTCGTCACTCTTGTCTCACCCCCGAACCCAGGATCCTCGTGAGTGTTGCGACTGTTGAAGCTATGCAACTTCGTGGCATGTCCAAAGTGGCGACACTCACATGGAAGGGCCATGGTTTCGGTCTGCACCACGCCCAGCTGCTGACCCGCAACCTTAAACCCTTTCATATCTAGACACCTATGTGGCATGGACCTTTATGTATAGTTTGGCGATCTCTTTTGTTTTAAATTCAAATGCCTACATTTGTTTATGTTTTTGTATTACTTAAGGTTTGAGGTCCTAGCGGATTGAGATCCCTGAGGAATCGGGACTAGGTTTACCAAGTCAGTGTCTAGGGAAGCCTTCGCCACGCGACCAGGGCTACGCAACAACGACGGTGACGACGACGAGACGATAACTAATTTTAAGGGCCTTCTATAAGAGCAGCAACTGACAACCTCTTTCAACCTCAAAAACAGTCATCAGGCCATGGTGCTGAGCTAGTACTTAAGGTTTGAGGTCTTTAAGGATGCAGCACTCATTCAATGCTACAAAAGAAGCCTGTTCGACGCCTACGAGCCTCCGACGCTTCGTGCTTGCCACGGCGCAGACAGATCGGGAGCTTCCCGCTTACACTAGTTCCAGGTATGTATACACAGTACCACCGAGTATCAAGTCTTCCAAAGAACACGCTCTTGAGCCTGTGTGTCCTTGGCACCTTAAACTAGTGCGAAGACCGACTGGGCACAGAACTCTTACATGGCATCGACACGTACATCCTGCAGAACTCACTCAGAGAATCCACCACGAGCGATCTGCATCGGATCAACTTCGTCAGATCTGCACGTCGCAATTAAGTGCATCGGATCAACTTCGTCAGACTGGAAAGCTCATCCGAGTTGAGTGAAGATATCTTCAAAGCATTGACAAAAATGTAGAGCTCATACTAATTCACAATGGTTTGCCACGATTTTTAGTACATGTACATATACATGTACATGTACATAATACATATACACAAACATACACAATACTTATAATCTCCTGAACAATACAGTTCCGAAGTAAAGAAATAGCGAATCGAGCTTACTTGACTGCAGCGCTTCACACGTGGATAACACCGAATCATGTCCAGGCAGCAGCTTGCTTTTCGACGTCAAGGAAAACTGTGTCTGCCAGAAAAAAGAC